TATATATATATATATATATATAAGGAAAAAATAAAATATATAAATAGAGTTTATATTAAATATGAAAATTAATTTAAACAGAATACCCTATATTCCAGATAGGATTAAGAAATTGGAAATTTTAAATTCTGGATTTAATTATTTAGTTGCAATTGAGAATTGAAAAATTCTTTTCCAATTTAATGTATATGCATAGATACTTATAAAGTGATATTATTTATCTTTTCAAATATTTTTTTATAGATGATTTAATTAAAACATACCTATCGTTATAAAAATAACATTGATCTAAACATTAAATTTAAAATTCCCAATTGCATGAATTGAAAAATAGTATGAATTGAATTTATTTATTTTTTTGTAAAATAAAAATTATTAAATTCATTCATTCATTTCACTTCTTGTTATATTTATAAGCATTTTTATATTATCAAGAACTAAATATACTTTATATGTTTGATTTTAACCTTTTTTACATATGTTTCCTGTTTAAATCTCTTGATGAATAGTGCTTATCATTATTCATTCCATTCTTCTGAAGTAATTCTAAGTATTTGCAAATGCAAACTATTATCCAGATTCTAGTCCAAAGTCTCATTTTATGAAGAATCATCATTTTATCATTTTTTAAATTGGAGAATGACACAATGAAATATATTTATTCTTAGATGAAATGGTTACTCTGAAAGTTACTCTGAAATACAATTTAATAATAATATTTTAAATATTTATATGCTTGTTTATTTAATATATTTATGAATTAATTGTAAGTAGTGAATTTTTTATTTTTTATATTATTACTCACATTCATACATAACATCATGGTTTAGCTATTGATCATTTTTTTATTTGAAAGTTAAAAAATGCCTGTCTAGTGGAAATATTTTCAGTTGTGACTCATAAGAAAATATATTACATAGACATTTTTAATATTTGTTTAGATTAACAGTAAAAAAAGAGTTTCTTTTATATTAAGAAAAAATAAATACCAATATATTAACAAAAACAACAGAAGCCATCTAAGATTGTCAAAGAAACAATTCAGTGTTAGTATTTTAGCTTAATTAAAGTTAAATTAATATAATACATTTATATATTACACAAATAATAATTGATGTGTATTAAATTTTTTTAAAGGTTTTTCCAAATTAAATTATTTTTTATGTTATTATTGAAATATGAATTTAGCAGAAACCTTTCTGCTGTAATCTTTAGAAACTGTAATGTTTGAAAATATTAATATAAAATTTTATAATATAGTTTTCTTATATCCTTCAATGTAAATTTTTGAAGAGACATATATTTGTAATTTTAAATTTACAAGTATATGTCTCTTCAATTTAAATAAATTTAAATATAAATTTAAAAATATTAAGAGAAATGATTGCCATTCATTATAGTTGTGTAATTTGAATATATGTTTAAACTGAATTTTTAATTTAAGTTATTAATCTATTTCTGTCCAAGAAAGACATTATTATGTAATTTTTTTTAAAAACTTTACAAACTTTATTACTAATCAGTAATATATAATACATCAGTCACAAATTAATATTTGAAGAAAATTTTTCATATTGTGTAGAAAAGATAGCATATACCATTATTTCATTTCTAGTTGTAAACTTTATGACAGTAAGCTCAACCAATCAGGTTAAATCACACCAATTTCAAATGTTTTTCCCACTTGAGATTTTGTTCTTTTTTAGAAATGTTTAATAAAAAAAACTAATTTTTATTTATATATTATTTTACATTAATATTTGAGAGATTCCAAAATATATAATAAATTTAATAATTTTTATTATTAGAAATCATCTGACATTAGTTGCTTCATGACAATGTAAAGCATTTTTTTAAAAATTAATTCTATAATTCTAAAACTAATTAACAATATAAATGATGCTGAATTTTTTTTATTTTAAGACAAATACTAATTAATGCTGAATTACACAAATTTTATGAATGATAAACTATATTATGACAGAAAATTTATTTATGGACATCATTTATTAATATAATTTATATTAAAGAGGAGTTTTCAATGATAGAAATTTAACTAAAGTTACTAATGAAAGAATGCTGTTGGGTTTGATATTATTTTTTATATAATTTGTATAACACAATATTGGCAATTCTCAATTGTATAAAATTTATTTAGCAATTCTTTTATTACTATTATTATAATAAAGAATTGAAAGATATAAAAATTAACTGTTAAAATCTATCAATCTGCTGACAGTTAAAATTTAATATAAACTATTAATGATTTATTTTTAATGATATTATAGAATCATGTATACTAAATTGAAATAAAATTAAAATAAAACACATATATATTTAATTTTAATTTTTTGTAATTATATTTAATCTGTATATATTTTTAAAAAGATTTTTAAAATATAATTAATGATTTAATAATTTTTTAGTATTATTTTTAAAATAAAATATTTCATAATGTAAAAAATAATGTTAATTAGATATTTACATTGTTTGTTAGTTCAGTTTGAATGTATTGTAATAATATTGTATGGACATAGTTTTATAATTCTTTCATTTTAAGATTTTTCATTGTCATTTTCTGATTTAGAATAAATTTTTTTTAATTTTTGTTTGAGAAGTGTCTATAATCAAGTTCAGTTAATTTCATTATTTTTATTGGGTTCAGATTTCTAAAAATGCCCAAGTTCTAAAGGCTTCTTTCCTGATAATGTTTACCAATATCCTATTTGTTTGTTTTGCAGCCCTATAAAGCATCTAGTACAGAAGTGTGAAACCTTAACTAAATTAATGTGATAAATTAATTAGACTTGTCAACTTAATTCAAATTCTATTGTAAAATATTTATTAAAAAAATTGCAGTGTTCTAAAATTAATTTAAAGCATATTTGCATAAATATTTTAATATTTAAGTATGACCTGAATTATTAACTTTTATTTTATTTTAAAAAGGCATTAAATGCATATTTTTAAATATAAAAACAAAAAAGTATTTTAAAATTTTGAATATTTTCTTAAGAATTCAGAATTATTTCATTTTTATTTATATTAAAAAAATTATTTAATTAAAATACAGCAACTGAATTAAAGTTATTTTTAGATTATTGACAGAAAAATGAGCACATTTTTTGTGAGATATGCAGTTTTAAATTAACTTTAATTATATTTAAAAGTTAATTCTTAATTAAGAAGAGAAAATAATTAAATCATTGTTAAATAATGATTCTCTCTCTAAAAATATAAAAATGCTATTGGAAAGATGCTTTAATTTTTCAAGCTTTAAAAAGTATTGTTCATTTATTGATTATTTTGAATTTGTTTATTTCAAAAATCTCATTTTAAAGAGGTTATTATTGATTAAATGAAGTGCTTGTTAATGTTAAAGTAAATATAACATTGTTCAGAACAGTATTGTAGATTTAGTAAAAAGTTTAAAGATATATATAAAGCATTTTTTCTGATAACTGTTATCTGCTATCTTTCATTTAAAACAAAATTTACAACTGTAACTCAATCTAAGGTGAAACATGAGACAATTTGTAACCTGATACTTATTGATCTTGAAGGAGTAGGGGTTTGTTTCAGCTGAAAATTTGTCAGCTGTATTTATTTATGTTCTCCTACACCCATTAGGTAGATAATTTACTCAGAAGTGATAGCAGATGGATGGATAGGAGGAAATTATGGCGTTTTAATGGAAACTTTGGATTAGATAATTTTTTTATGTAATAAATTTCATCCCAGTAAGAAATTTAGTGAATTATCAGAGAGATGACATCTAAGTATATATTACAAAGCTAAAAATTGAGTACAAAGGCAAATGGATGGTTGAAAAAGAAATTTTTAAATTAATAATACAGTATATAGTAAATTTAAAGGTTTTAATTTTATTTTAAGAATAGAAACATTGCAATTATAATAAAAAAATTTTTTTTAAGTAAAAGAATCAACATTTTTATCAGAATAATTATTGTTTTTTAGTAAAAAACTTTTTTATACTTTCATTAAAAAATAGTTAATGATATAGAGTCATTTCTGACTAATTAACTAAATATTATTATTATTATTAAAAGTGCTAAAAATTGAAATATTAATGAGCTTGTTACTCAGTTTACAGAATCATAATTATAATCATTTTGAATCTAAAGTTACTAATTTGTAGGTTTTGAAAGAACATAAATAATAACTATTTAAAAGTTAAAGTAAAATTGACAGCAGCTTTATATCATTTATATATTGAAATTTGTAATGATTTTATTTTTTAAACTTTTAATTATAATTCATCTTCAGAAATATAAAATCAAAGTTAGTTATAATTGTGATTTATTAGTTAAACTTCTACACTTAAATGAATATTTTATCAATGTTTATGGATCAGATTTTATATAGTATTGATATTTTATGCTTATGTTTTTAATTTGTTGTGTTTGTTATTGTGTTAATTGTAATTGAGTTAAGTAGAGAAAGTAACTACTAGCCTTAGAAATACCTTACAGAATAATAAATAAACAAGTAAATTTGTTGTATTATATACTAAAGAATATAAAAATGCATTTTAATTGAACTGTTTGAGTATTTATTATATCATTCAATACTAATGAATGTTAAAATTTATATTTTAACTGAAATTTTTAATAAACTTAAAATGATTTATAACTGTTCATATACATTAGAATTTTGATTATCCAAGATAATGTGGGTTGTGTGAATTGTGAAATATTTATTTAGTAATTTATCAAAGTTATCTAAGTTTTTTTGTATCCAAAATTCTCTCAAAATATCTTGGATAACATGGAATGTTTAATAAATTATTAAATAGACATATTTAGATTTTTTAAGTTAAATCTGCTTATTAAATATAATGTCTTTTAAATTGTATAATAAAACAGTTTTAATTTAAAGAAAATGTAAATGTACAATTACAATTACCAGTATAATTTTTTAAATCTTTAAAATTTGTATTGTTGTGAAAAATTATCAGAGTAAAATCCTTATAAAACTAGAATTTCTTTTGATATCATACATTTCCCAGACAAGCTTTATGAAACAAACTGTGCTGTATTGAATTCTATTGTCTTCATTGGCAAAGTACTCTTCCCAATTCACCTCAGATAATCAAACTCTATTTAACAGATCTCTGTCAATGATGACTCCATTGTACTTCATATTATAAAATCTTTTCTTTCTATTAAATATTCTATATAATTAATAAAATAAAATAAATTATTTTTACATAATGATTTTTAGATTTTCATTATATATTGTTTTTTTTAATTTTGTCAGTTATTTTTTAATAATTAACACATTTAAATTTAAAATATTATATATAAACTATTTTTATTTTTTTTATTTTTACATAAATGTTGATAATAAAGTAAAAATTATAATTCAGTTAATTTTAAATATTAAATAGAAAATTTAAATTAAGAACATAACAAATTGAAATAGTTTTCAAGTTTTTAAATACAACAATAACAATAGTAATAATACTTTTTATAAATAAAAATTTTATTTAGGAATTTCAGAATTGAAAATAAAAATTCTTTAATCTGGAATAAGATTGATAAGGTTTACTTTAAAGTTTCGATCTTGGAACTTGTTTTTTACCAAGAGTAGATTGTTGCATTAACAAACAAGTTAAAGAAAAATTTTTACTACATGCTACAGACTTTCTAGCAATCATATTCACCAAAGGAAATTGAATAATTTAGAATACATGGAAGTACATAATTCAGAAAAAAAGAATCAATATAAAGAATCTGAATTAAAAATTTGTTTGGTTTTAATAATTCATTATAAAAGAATATTATTTATAGAAATTTTTAAAAAATTGAATAGTTTTTACATCATAAATTTTAAATATTTCAAATTTATTATATTGCCGAAAATGTAAATAATTACATGTGCATGAATTAATTTAATTAACTAAATGCTTTCTTTTTATAGCCATTTCCACTTTATCATCCAACAACAAGTTTTTCTCAAGTCGTACCAAAACTGAACACCAAAGGGAGAGACCTTTTACAGGTAAAAGTTGTTTATACATTTTAGAAGATTAATTAATTTTTGGTATTTAGGATCATAAAAATTCTTATGAAATTTTATTACAGGTATTGAGATGTTTTATGAGACATTAATAAAATTATATGAATTTAGATTAGTTTTTAAAATAAATAAATAAACAGAATAAGATGATTAGAATAGTTATTTTTTACACACAGAATGCACAACTGCTGTTTTTAAGTTACAATTATGTGACCTTGGTTTTGAGTGTAAACATTCAGCACCTGTTAGAAACATATAAAAATTGTTTGTGGCTTCATTAAAATATATAATATACTGGTACTTAAAATTCATTGTATTATTTATTAAACTCAAAATTATTATAATTATAATTTGTAAAAGTTTAGACATTCTGCTATCTCTATAGTATACAAATCTATCATAATAAAAATTTTAAACAGTAAAATTAATAGCTAGATTTTTGTAGAAAAAAACCATGAAAATATATGCTCAAAATGTCTTTTTAGTGTCCACAGAGTGGAAAGAGTAAAAAAAGATATATTTATAATATATTATTATATATTAATTGCATGCCCCAAAATAATATCTAAATTTGTAAAAAAGAAAAATTTTATTAATCGTAGCTGCAAATCAGCTGTTAAAACAGATATTATTTGGTTAATAAAATAGAAATAATGAAGGTTAGAATTATTTATTAAATTGGTGTTTATTAATTAAGGTAAATTGAAATATTCATTTTATATCCGAATTTAATGTAGGAAAATTAGTAATCAAAGTGGTATCTATATTGAGTAATAAATTTTTAATAAAACGTCAACTTGTGAAAATGTTTGCTCCTTTAAATTATATATTATTAGATACATTAATTAAATTGTATCAATTACATTTAAATCTTTTTCGAGGAACTTGCTATACTGTATTTATTTTAGAAATCTAATTATTATTTATTATATTTATTAATT